CTATGGCATCTTGTGTTTTTCTCTGTATTAAATATAACCTTCAGTGCCTTAGCAGACTGGAGGAGCAGATCACAAAGCAAAGATTATAACTTTGCTACGTGCATATGCTTATTAGGACATGATATATTCAAATTTAGTTGGTAGTCTAGTGAAGTGGCCGCATGATTGGTGTGGTACTTGTGCAACTTTAGGTTTTCTCTTTTACCAGATGATACTGGAAACATGTCTAAACTGTCATTGCCTGAGTTATTTCTGAAATGTTGTTGGGATTTGATCTCTAAAATCCTGTATTCTGTGCAGATTAAATTTCTTTTATAACAAAACCTCATGTCCTGGGAAAGTAATAAAAATCCAACAAACCAGCTAATTGAAATCATGCCCTCAAAGTCAGGTGGCCACCAGATATTTTTCAAATACAAGTATTTTTCTTATCCAGTGTGACATCTGTTTTCATCTACATCTTACAATTTGCTGCATTTAACTAACTGGTCATGCTTATGATACTTCCTTTGTTCTGTTAGTATTTTCTGCAGTATATTTGGCATGATCACTTACTACTACTGCTGCTTTATCAGTATCCTCAGTGAACATTACCTGAACTGACTTTCCACTTTATCTTTGAATTCAGCGGTTGTCAAAATGTATGTCAATGTAAATCTGTAGAACTTATTTCATAGTTGCTGTAAGTTTTAAATTTTCATTAACTGTAACAATGCAGATCGTAAATGGGTAATGGTGCATTTAGCATAGTGTATTGGTGGATGGCAGTGGCAAGAGTTTGAATCAAAGGATATAATTGCTTGTGCGTATTGTTCAATTATAAATTTCATTTGCAACGTATCTCAGACTCTGTCTTCATATTAAAGTGTTTCTAATATCTATTATGAAGCTACAGTGCTGGTTAATACAATTTCATCCAGATCTACTTCTGTCAAATGGGATTTTAACTGTCCTGAGCTCCAGTTCACATTTATGAAAGTTGGAGGGTTTATTCAATAAGTTTTAGTCACAACTTGGTTGCAAAGCATGCACCATACATAAAAATTTTCATAAATGGAGAAAATTTCCTTGCAATTTTATTTTTTCTCTTGAAGTATTTTGTCTTTTAAAAATGCATATGAAGGTAAAAAGATTCTTTTTATGTTTTGTTTTTTATTACAGCTGTATTGTTCAGATAGTGTATTTTTAACTTGAGCTAAATCTTTATGAATATCATTACTTAATAATACATCTTTTGTCATTCCACTGTTTATACAGATCTAATAATTGACCTATTGGAAGGATGCATAATTTGTAGTGCAGGGTATGTAAAGAACTGAAGTACACTTGATTGCTCTAACTCTCCAATAATTTTTCAGTACATCGGCCAAACTGAGTTGAAAGCACAAATATGATTGAGTAATATAATAATGAGATAAGTGTGTGGGTAAAGGAGAGTCCCCCATGTTTGCAGTCTTTTGGCCCTCACTGAGGAAGACAGAACTCAATTATTACAAATTCTGTCTGACTGGAGCTGACAGCCATTCGGTCTGCATTTAACTGGCTGGTCAATCACTGCCTGCATAGATCAGGATTATCTACAGCATTTCCTGTGCCTTGCATAGCAAGACATGAGAGATTGCAGGGGTTCTGAGTGTAGTGTGATGTAGTAGTAATTTGTTGGAAACTAAGCATCAGCAGTTTTACTTGTGTTGCATCTTTTTTTTTTTTTTTTTTTTTTTTTTTAAACTCGGGAATGATTTGTTTGTATAAGAATCCTAGGGAACAGAGCTTAAATGAAATTTTATTTCCTGTGTGTCAGAAGAAATGTGAAAACTGGAATCCCAAAATCTCGTAAAATGGAAATCAAAAGAAAAGAATTGTAATTTGATTATTGTTTGAAAGCCTCATAATGAGGCTTTTCCCATGACAAGGGAACGAGGAGCTGAAATGTGAATGTTGAAAACATGGATTTGGTAATACCCCTGTAACAAGTGCAAAGGGCCTCTTGGGGAAATTTGATTGCCTTCTGTCCCCATGGAAGTAAACCCTTATCTGGACATTAGATTAAAAGTAGCTTCATTTATATCTAGCATTTAAGTGACCTCTTACCACGGGTCTAAAGTGCTCTTATAGGTCACTGGTATCCCTCTGTTAAACTTTCCTTTTTCAAAATGAAATTAAAAGTCAAAGAGCCTTACAGCATTGCCTGGGGGAGAGAGGTGCTTCAGTGTTGTCCTGCTCTTGCTAAGGGAAAATAGTATCTTGGTACTAGTATTCTGCGTCCTCCTGCTTTGCTTTTCTGCATGTCAGGAAAGGGTAGGAGAAAGTACAGGTAGCATAGAGGAATGATCTAGTTTCAGTGACATTCCTTGTTGTTCTCTCCTTGCACACGTTTCAAAGCAGAATAGACTTTAAAATACTATTAAAATTCACCCAGATGGTCCATGATAGTGGTTACTGGTACTTTCCAGCTCATAGAGTTTGCCTTTGCATCTTTGAATAGGTGCTTCAGTTTTAGCTGAAAGATGAACTAGTTTTATTTGGCCGTTATGCAGTGTGATACTCTGTTTTCTACAAACAGCCTTGCCAGTGGAAGAAATACATCGTATCTGCTCATCCTTCATAGGCTGTTCATTGCTGTCTGAAATGCAATACTGCCCTTTTAAAGAGTTAAAAAGCAAGGGAAGGAAATGGACTTCAGTGTTTTCATTCAGTTAGAGCAGGGTTCAGATTTTTGAACAGATGTTATAGAAATAAACATTTTAAAATTATAGAGGTATCTTGGCAAAGAAGGTAAAACTATGTATCTTCTGTTTTTTCAAGCATCAAACCAATTATGAAGAAGAACCTGAAAAAAGGACATATGATGCGATTGCAGAGAAAGTAGTATGTTATCATAGAATCATAGAATCGTTATGGTTGGAGGAGACCTCAAAGATCATCAAGGCCAACCTTCTACCCAATGCCACCATGCCCACTAGACCCACTAAACCATGTCTCGAAGTGCCACATTTGATAAACTTGATAAAAACAAAACAAAAAACTCCCAACTTATTCCTTTATTCTAGGTTAACAAGTCTTTCATAGCGTACATAAACATTCAAATATTTAATCTTAACACCATTGAAATAGTTTCTTTTACAAAGCTGTACATGCTACACATGAACAGAAATACGTGCCCAAATTGTATATGTGAAGAATTGTAGCAATTATCCTCTGTCTGTATTGAAACTTCGAGCTTGAATAGTTTGTGCTTAAAAATATGAAATAGCCTTTTGAAGGTACACTTCTGGCAGGTTTTTTTATTATCTTCTTTTACAGATAGTCAAGCAGACATTGTCAAGACAATTGTTTTATTTCTATAAAATACGTGCCTGATATCTTCACAACCAAATAAATCAGGGGTAAAATATCCTTTAAAGAAGCCTTATTGACATAATTGAATAGAGATGTATAACTAGCATTGATGCTGTCACTTGTATATGTATGCTGTGATGTTGTATTGAAGAAGCAGAACAAGAAGATAGATGACGTCTTGTGTGAAAACATTACTGCCAGATAAGACTTGCTATGCTTGGAAGAGGCAAATTAGTAATATAAATCAGGAGCTGGATAAAGTGTTCAGTGGTCAAACAAAGCAGAGAGACTTGAGGGTAGTGAAAATACGTACTCTTGCCTTTCATCATTTCCTAATAATTTTGTAGCACTGCTTTGCACAGTGGAAATGCCCACCTCACTTTGGCCACAGTGAAATGGGATGTCAGAGCAGTACTCTGTTGAGACACAAATTTAGGGACAATCGTTAAACTGAAGATTGGAGGGAGGGGTGTAGGTGTGTCAACCATGCATTATGCTTTGTGGTAAGAGATACTAAGCATGAGGTTTTAATTTCCAAGTCAGTCATTCTTCCTGCATGGTTTTGTCCTGGCATTTGCTATGGTCATTGCATGATACCTACTCAGTTATGATTGCTGTGCCAGTTAGCAAAGTGTGGTTACTACAGCAGCTACTAAAGCTCTTTCTGGGCTTGTACCCTGCAAACTTAAGGGAAATGGAGATACAGCAGCAGTTACCCCACAACCATGCTGAAAAGTTGGGAAAAAAGAGTAAGAAGCTGGTTTTTTAAGCAAAAAATATGAAGACAAATGTAACAATTCCACAGCTCATTTTACTTGAAATTTATTTTGAATTGTGTGGGGCAGCCTAGGGAGTGGGTGCTTCAATGGATAGAGTCATAGGTTTTCTACAAGAAAGATGGCCTTGCCCTAAGATGCTTCTACTGTAGCTCATACCTCTTCCAAACTGTTGAGAGCTGAAGAATTTTAATTGATTTAAGAGAGTTGTCCACACTTTTAGATTCATCTGTGGTCCTATTCCATGCATTGGGCTAGAGCTTTCAGAAACAGGAATACACTTGGGAAGGAACAGAAGCTTTAGGAGAAAATCCAGTGGTAGCTGAAGTCTCACTGAAACACATTTTTTAACTTCTTATGCTCACGGATATCGAGTTACAACTGCAGCATCAGCAGTGAGGGGACACTTGCGTAGCATACCAGCCTCAATCTCACAGAACAGAACAGAAGGACATCCTCACCAGCGCTAGTTTAGCAGAGAGGGGCTAAGCTCAGGGAGCTTGCTCTCTAGTGAACACCAGTGGTGATCACAGAGGAGTGACTTCAGGTGCTCTGACATGGTGTCTGGAAAAGCCTTTCCGGAGGCTTTTGAAGCCATGTAGGGGGTGTAGGGAGATTCACCTCCTTGAGGTTGACCTTTGCAGCCCATCTCCCTGGTTTGGGGAATGGTTCCTTTCTGGATTAATACCACTGCCCCCTATCCATGTGACTGCAGTGACATTAAAGCTTGAATAATTCTCCATTTGCCATCAGTAATGCTTTTCTAATTAATAGGCTTAATCATTAATGTTCTAAGGAATATATTATAATAGTAGCTGTTTAAATATTATTCCAAACTATGCTTTAAAAAAGCCAAGTTGACAGCAATTTAGTAAGATAGCTGCAATGACGAGGTAAATTTATGTTGTCTTGTACTGATGTTGTTCCACGCTAGGCACCTTGTACTTAGGAAATAGAAAACAAAATTTGGCATCATAAGTAGAGTTATTAATGTTAATTTAATGATGGTGACAACAGTTACAATGATGATAATTTTATTAAAAATGGTTTGTAGAAAGTGGTCAAACTTTGCCTGAGTTTTGCAGGTGGGTGGAAAAGCAGTTAATTGATGCCGTGGTATTTTATAATTCACATTATGTTCTCTCATTAAGTAAAGCTACCCTTTGGAAACCAGTCTCATTGGTTTAGATTATAAGCACTTAGTAGAAATGAGTTTGAGTGCTACTACTATTACTGTTACACTGCAATCTGGAGTTTTTACACAGGCAAAATTCCATGTCCTAGTAAGGACTAAGGGCTACCTCAGCTTAGGCCACCTAGTGTTAGTCAATTCCTTACTCCTAAACATCGAGGCTATTTCCCAGGAGCTCTGATCAAATCCAAAGGCATTTTGTTGCCAAACACTTTGGGTCCTTGTTCATTTTTATGCTTATTCACGGTCTTAACCAAACAGCTAAATCTTAAACTAGGTGTTTGTCTGTATGTCTCATTTGAGAGACATTAATAAGTTGTTATTTTGGGGTACAGTTAAGATTCCTTGCATGTTTCTGTGCTGGCTGCTGCTTTTTTCTTTTTTTTTGGTAAAACCCACCTGGAGAAGGTACCTTTTCTAAGATAGATTAATGGTTAAATCATTCACTGAAAGCCTCTCCCAAGTTCTAGCTTTGTTTCCAAATGTGCTGGATCAAAATGTGTGCCCCCTCAGTAAAAATATGTGTGGAAATTTAGTTGCACGCAGTAATATTAAACGCAGCGTACTTTGAAGAAAGGCTATTGAAATAAATGGCTTGCAGTTATGAATTATTAAGAAACATTGTAAGGAATATAACAATTTTCAGATTACTACTGTGCATAGTACTTAGAAGTTTGGATTCCTCTTTTTGTTTAGAGGATGTCTGCGTGTCCCCCTTCACATGTCCACTTCATGTACTCCAAGTGGAAGTAACTGCTGCTAATACAGCTAAAGCAAGCCACTAGGAACACACAACTTTAATTTGTATCCCTATAAATATGGAATTTGGTTTCTCACTGCTGTGCTGATGTTTAAAACTGAAAAGTGTAGCCCACCTACCTGTGAGAATGCTTGTCCTTCCATGATGACTGACTTTACTGGGGTCGTAAAGCAGTTTTGTCTGAAGAAAGAGCTTTTCCTGTAGTTCATCTGCCTGACACAAGACACTCCTTGCCACATCAAGGGAAGTGAGCCCTGCTCTCACCTTCTTCTGAACTAGATGGAAACCCTGTCTCTTGAGCCTTCAGCAGCTCTCAGGAGAAAAAGCTACAAAAGCTATGAGTTAAATCCCCCCAAATCTTGTCATTTTGGCAGGACCAGAAGTGGAAGAGGTCTCTGCACTTGCATTTCACGGAGAGACCAGTGTTAATCAAGTTTATAGAACGTGATGCATGTTGTTTGCTTTTTCTCTGTCTGATTGCATCAAACAATTAAAATGACTAAACACTGAGATCCTATAGTCAATTCTATGCAAATGAACTGATAGACTTGAATGGAGTCAGCTGTGAGCAGTTGTATGAATGAAACCGTCTCAGACACAGTTTTTCTAGGGAAGGGGGATATTCTGAGAATGATCTCCCTTTTTTCCTTGTGGGGTTTTGCTGTTAATTTTGAGAGTCCATAAATTAAGGGAGTTAGTGTTCCAAGTGCTAGTTTAGTTTGTGTAGGGATCTTGTGTAAATGGATTTTAAATGTTTGCAAGCTTCACCTCCTAATCTTCTTAAAAGGATTTTAACAAGAGAGTTAATGCTTATTAGTACCTGTTAGCTAGTGCGCAGTCAAAAAGAAGAAAGGGGTGAAAATCTTACTTGAAATATTTCAAAAGGGAGCTGTTGTAGTTGGTTGTGGTTTGAATTGGTCAAAGGATGTCACAGTGACGTAGAAGCAACTCTATACACCAGAGAGTTAGTATTCTCATATGTAGTTAATAAGGGTAAGTTGGAGTATAAATGAGGATAGAGATTTAATCCCTCCTAGGCTTAATTTAGTAAGAAAGATGAGAGACAGAGATTCAATGTGAGTAGGATCCGGGCTTCTTCCCTGAGACAAAGATTTGTATCCCTTAAGTCTTTGATTCCAAAGAAGAATCTTTAAAAAAAAAAAATCCTGTTGGAAGGAGTGCTTACACTGTGGGTGTAACAACAAGGTGATAGAGATATGCATTTGTGAACTTAGTCTTTGTTCATTGTAAGCTACCTGACTTCTGTTTATTTAGAAGCTCATCCACTGGCTAAAAGAACTTTTTTGTCAGTAAAATTAACTAGCAGCATTTGAGTGATAGGTCTAATGATCACTGACAGTTGTCTGTCTTTCTGGTACCTCTTTATACATAAATGATTTCTGCATCTGATCCAGCATGATCTCCTAGGAACGTTCTATGTTTCCTTCTGTGCATGGTGGTAGACATTATGTTATGAAAGATTCTTTCTAATGCTATCAGCTAGTGGTTGGCTTACTTGCTGATTCATAACTTTTGATAATCACATTTAAAGTGTATGTTATGGAGCTAATTCACTTTAGTTTCATAAATATGTAGTAGTTTTCTGAACCTACTGAACTGCTGGTCCACATGCTGCGTTGTTGGAGGGAGTTCTACAACTTTATTTTCCTTTAAGTCTTGTTTTTTTAAAGGTGTTACTGTCACAGATTTAAAAATTTTTAAATATTTAGATTAAAACTCTTTACCCTTACCAATGAAGAGTTAAGATTCTTGCTTGCATATTTAACTTGTCCAACATTAAGAGACAAGAACTGCGTGAAAGAGAATGTACTTACTAAAGTTGTCTTGCTTGCTTGCAAGTGAGAAGAGAAAACAGAACACTCAAGTTAGTTTGTACCCAGTAAAATGTGAAAGAGAGATGTGGATATAGGACTTACTGCTGATATCTAAAGCTTTTCTTTTAGCCAGATAGAGAACTTCTATTTTGGGCACCAATTCCACAGACCTCTTGTGTGTTTGGACATCTGTTTATTTGTGTTCCCTTACAAACTTAAAATATATATCATTTTAAGCTCTTTAGGATAAGGGCTGTATCATCGTATATACTTTTACAGTAATTGCTGCATCAGGACTTTGGTGCTAAATGGGGCTTCTGGACACTGCCTGTGTTGAAATTATAATAATCATGCCCAAGTTGATAACGGACAGTTGTTAGGATGGTTTGGAAGGATTTTGTTATGTGAGATACCTGTGAGATGCCTTTTAATTGGTATATATTACAGTGTGATGTTTAATGGAAACGTTTGTAAGTTTGGTGCATGCAGGCGGGGATGTTTCTCTGATAAAGCCCTTGAGAATTTTGTCCTTTGTTTTCTTGCAGACCTTTGGAACGTTCCAGTGAAGATGTAGATATAATATTCACACGACTGAAAGAAGTGAAAGCTTTTGAGAAATTTCATCCAAACCTTCTCCAGCAGATATGTCTCTGTGGATATTATGAAAGTCTGGAAAAAGGAATCACATGTAAGAGAGCTTCATATGATGATCTATTTTATAATAGATAATTTAGATAAAATTGGGGGTTAGGCTAGGATTGTCTCTAGGAGATTGATGAGAGCACAATCAGTGGAACAGGCATAAAAATGTTTACAGTCACAGTCATGGGGGAAGGCAGGACTAAAGTGCTGCTTGCTCTACAAATACAGTGTGTAGTGAATCTATGGTAACAAGGCACACATTATTGGGTTTAGGACTCTGCCACTGTTTCACTGAAAGGTTAGAAGGAAGTCATTGCACTTAAGGCTCACTCTTCCCCTGTAAATGTATTATTGATCTCTTTTGTAGGTACTTTGTGATGTCTGGGGAAAAAGTGTGTCATCTAGGCATATGACTAATAGTGTGTGGTTTGCAGCCGGTCTGGATAACACAAGATAGATTTACAGAGCTGCATGCTGCTGTGGAGTTCAAAAGCTCTGTGTCTGCTCTGGCAGCCCGTGTGCCAGATGAAGGTGGACAGCTGTGCTTTGTCTATGAAGCTGAGATAGAAATTAGTGGTGGTCCTGTGATGGGAATGTGTGAGTTCCCAGACCTGTACCTGGGGAATAGCTGATGGAGAGTTGTGGTATTTAGTAGAGTCTCAGGTACCCCTTAGGTAAATCTGGCATGCTTTAGGCACACAGCACTGGGGTTAACTTAGAGGAATAGGAATTCTAATGCACTGTAATCACACAGTTGGAATGCCTGAACATCAAAGACCTGCAGTTGCTTCTCAGCCAGAAGTCTCACTGAAGTCAGTGGGAGCTGTATCTGCACTGAAAGATTCTGAATTTCAAAGGGGCATTGTTCAGAAAGTATTTTTTTTCTTTGTTTGTTTTGTTTATTAACTAAGATAGCAATGAAAGAGAAGCAAACTGGGGAGAAGAGTGAAGCAATTCTATGTGCTTTCATTGTTTCTGTAGTGTATCGACCAGTTTACTAAAATAGATCCTTTCCCGTATAGTTGGAAATATTATTGTAATAGTGAGTAAGTAGTCCGATATGGCAAATTCTACAGTGCCAGCAGTGACTACAGTAGTACAGCAATATGAGGGAAAATGTTTTGTTAATGTTAAACTTAAAGAGATAGCTCTGTCTTATAAGATTTCATCTTTCCAGTATTCCGTCAGGGTGACATTGGAACGAACTGGTATGCTGTTCTGACAGGATCACTGGATGTGAAGGTTTCTGATACAAGCAACCACCAGGTAAAACAGATTTCTCATTGGAACCATCCAGTCAGTATACAAAGAAAGGGTATGATTTATGCTGAGGTAGATAACAGCGACATACATCGTACAGATGTTTTATCTTATCACAAGCATGTTTCTCTTGAGCCTCCTTTAGTCTCAGTTGTCCTCTGTCTATGGAGGCAAATCATGCCAAGTAAACTTTCCCCCCAAATTGCAAATGATTTCTCAGTATTTTGGCACTCCTGGATTTACAAAATTGGGAATTTTGGGAAAATCCAAAAAAAAGGAGGAGATACTTCTCCTGGAGAGAGTCTCCCACCCATGTCGTCTAATGTCATGCTGACAAGTTATGCACTTCCTACTGTGAGCTGAGTCTTCTGGGAAGGTATCATGCCCCATTCCCTGCTCCCATGTTTTTGAGATCTGGGATTGTCCCATCATGTAGCTCAGTATGGGGTTTACCTCTGACATGTGACTCGTCGTGCCTTCACGAGTGGTATAGCTACCCCTTTTTTCCACCTTGGTTGAATACAGCATGCCTGAGGGGTAGGGGTGGTAGTGTATTCTTTGCCCAAAAATTGGCTGATTGAGGAAGGTTTCTTGCTCATACGAGATAGGCAGAAATTGGATTTTCACTTTGTTGAGTGCTGCATCACCAGTGAAATTGGGTCAGAATGCAAGTCAGGGCAGCGTGTGAGCACTGGGTCTTTCTACTTTTCTTGCAGTAAAATGATAGATACAAAAGGAATTTCTTTCATATAATTATTTTTAGCAACCTCTTTACTGCACTAAGTAGAGACTGATTAAGTATAATTAGCCTAATTTGAGCAATTCTCAGCATGGCTTGTCTGTCACTGGTATTGTCACTATTTGGAACAGTACTGGGCTCATATGGGACCCTGTTCTGTGCAGGTCTAAAGCTATCAGGAATATTTTCCGGTGTTTGCCAAAAGGTGGCACTACATTGTTGGTAAGGTCCAATGCTCTTGACCGACTCGGAAAGAAATGTACCCAAAGTTACATTAAGAATCTGTTTGGAGTGTTGATTTGTTCTGTTAGATGGAGGATTGAACACTTCAGCCTTTTAAGAAATCTAATGTAAATATTTTTCTCCGCTTGTTCAGTTTCACTGCATTTTCCTGCCAATAGGAAACTACAGAACTACAATTCATGTAGTTCTAGTTCTAGAAATTATATTCTGCAGTAATTTCTTAACCTCACGTTTCCTTCTCACAGGAACAATGAACTGAATTCTTACCACTGCCTAGTTGCCGTAGGATACAGCTTCACTGCCAAAAGGACAGTAGCTCATGCATTTGCCATTCTAGTGCTGGATAAGTTTGGTGGTTGGGGACTCCTGAATAGCATTTGAGTCCAATATTTTCTCTGTTTTTGCTCCAGCTTGGTGTTTGTACCATGTCCCACCTTGTCCATCCTTGGTCTTCTGCTCCTTGTCCTGCCTTTAACTCCTGGATGCCCTGTTGCAGTCTTGCCTGTACTTCCTTCTTCACATGGTGCTGGTCATTCTTGAGCTTGAAGTACTTGCTAGCACTCGCTGCCCACTGTGCTCACTACAAACCTAGATGATGGAGGAAATACAGTGTAGCTCCAGAGGTAGGCAGCCCTGACAGACTCAGTTGCCAGCATTGTGCTCCCAGCTAGGAATGGATAACCAGTGCTTAAGATGTAGGGATGCTTGTAACCTACCCTGGAGCACAATTTCCAGTAACAGCACTCAGGAGCCAAAGCTTCCTTTGCAAAGTTATAGTAATGATTAATTGCTCTGCTGTTACTATTATGCCATAAATGGCAGTAATGCTAATGAGAAGCTTCCAGCAGAGCAGAAGAGATAGAGAAGTTTCCCGGAGTTTACAAGTTTAGAAGTTTATAGTCTCATGTAAAAGTACAGAAGGACCATGCCATGTTTTCTAGGAAGAGAGAAGCTAACTTTGTATTTAGGTTCCTGTTGGTTAAAAAGTCTCTAGACATGACTAATAATCTTTCAGTACTTAAGATGAGCAGGAGGTGGTACTAGATGACCTCCTGAGTTTTCTTGCAACTTGAATTGTCCTATTATTATATGATGATGCCTGCAGTGTTAATGTAAATATGGAAAATAAATTCTCTTGAATAAAAATATATTAGTCCCACTTTTACTAGGTGTTTATCTGTCTACCTGGGGAGCTTAAATTTCAGCAAGCCTGGGAATAAATGTGTTGTGTAGCAGCTACCATGTGCTAACTCTTTATGCAGTCACCTTTGGTGTTTGGTAGCTTTCTTCCATTAGAAGTGCGGTAAGTTATTGTGAACTTGGTGCTTACGAAGAATGTCTTAATGGCCTTTGCTCTTACAGAGGCATGTGGTTACATGTTTGGCACTAGAAATTATATCTAAATGCACTAATGGATCAAGACTTCAGTGTAGCTAGTGAAGTACTAATTCATACACATTCTTGCTGCGCATTGGCTTATTCCTGCAGACACCTGTGATTTCTCACAGAAAATGTTAGTAAGACTGATTAGGACCAAGTTCAGAATTCATATAAACAGAAATATGAACATACCTATTATTTTCTGTAGTGATAAGAGGAAGCATTCCATGTACTGATTTAAATGTTTTAATAAAGACAAACACAAATATTTAGGATCTCATAGATAAAGCCTGGCTTTCATGTTGGTTTGGAAGAATCCTTTCTGACTGCTTGCAAAACTGTATTCTGTCACAAGAGGGCTGTGTTAGAATACATAACAAACGGAGTACAGGCAAGGTTTAATACTAAAACGGCTAGTTTGAAAATAATATTCTACTATTTACAATATGTCTATTTTAAAGAGTTTGACCAGAGCAGATTTCTCTGTTACTGTTAGTTCTGTTCCACTGAGGTGGTAAAATGTACTAGCTGCTGCTGATCATGATGGTAATTTCATTTGCCATTGAAACAGATACAGAGATCTGACAGGATGACCCATCTGGTACATCCTGCATGGTGGCTGGTCTGCTTTCTATACAAATTATTTATGAATTTTCTGGGTATTCAATAGTCAAGAAGAGACTGAGGAGGATTTTTTTTAAGGTAAAAGTGTCACACTATGAATTGCAGAGGTAAGTGTAGTGAACTGTTTTGGTCTTGCCTCAACTTTTTTGTAACAAATACCCTAATAAATATTATACTTAAAAGTCACACAAAGACTTAGTAACTCCCCTTCAAAATAAACAGAAAATGCAGCCTGTTTAGAATCTATCAGAAAGAGGTCTTTACTGTCAGTTATGATCAGATTCTGAATTTAATTTTTATTTGGCACTGTTACCTACCCAATATTACAGCCGAGGTATATAGTAATAAAAGCTCGTCTTAGAGATATTCCTAGTTTGGTGTTGTCTTAAAAATACTGCTGACTGCCTTTTGTATGTTTAATTTTTGAACTCTATTTTGAAAATGAAGAGGTTCTGAAGGATGACTGTTGGTAATGTCTCAGAATAAAGCTGGTAATAAATACATTATGACAAAAGCATCAGGGTGACATCTTTGTCAGATTCTGCATCATTATGTTTTACTGAATTAGACTGAGAACATTTTACCTCAAATGATTTATATTCCTATCTGATAAAATGGGAAGGAATGAAGAGAAGAAAGACAAAGACCAAATAGCAATTTGATCTGCAGTTTTGCTGTAGTTTGCCAGCTAAATCATAGTGTATGCTGGGGGCTATTGCTAGTTTGTCTTGCCTGTGTTTTGGTGGAGTTTTTTTAAGGTGATCAGACCAAACTGAACATAGGGCATTGACTTTACAATTAGCCTTTTTTAGAAAAGCTTTAAAGGAGGAGCTGTGGGTGCTTGGGTGGTACAGCAGTGTCAGTTGTAGGAAGATGCAGAGGGCTGGGGATCAAAAGCCAAATAAGTTAGTGGGTTTGCTGAGAAGAATGACTGTGAAGAAAGAGGTTCAGATGTCCACGAAAGAAAGGGAAGAATTTCCTGACTGTTCGAAACTGAGGACAAAGGAGGTATGTGATAAGATGAAGTGGAAACAAGGAAAGAGATTTAAACAGGACAGTCCTTGCAATACTGCTTTCTGCATGTAAATGCCATTGTGTGTGCATGTAAATAGTCATTATGTACTTTGGAGATAACCTATGTGAAATCGTGACATAGGTTTGTACTGTAGTCTGTAGTGTAGTGTAAATATGCCCTAGCTGGACTAATGGACTTGGGTGAGAAGCAGGGTGTGCTGGCTCGTGCTGAGCTCCACAGTGTCATGGTTGTACTAATTTTGGTTTCGAACTTAAGTTTGTAACCTAGGAAAAAGTCCAAGGCTTTGCAGGTAGCTTTTAGAGGATCAAATATAAAGATATGGAAATAATGAACATGTTATTACAGTACAGTTAATCTGATCTGTAAATATTTTAATTAGGAACTAGAAGAGTTGGTCACAGTCTTTCTAGAAGCGTAATGCCTCCTTTAAGCAAAATCGCCTTGTCTTGTGTAAAGAGGATGGCCTAACATACGTTGGCAAACTGCAGTTCTAGTGTGGCAAGATATTTCTATGTTATCGTTAAAAGTAGTTTGATAAGGGTTTCCTATCTGAATTGCTGAAACATACTCCAGTGGAGCTAATGGAACAGGCAAATCACTTCATGGAACAGATAGTTTACTTTCATTGTATATCCTTTGGTGTCTCTGTTTTTGCTGAGGACAAACTGAACTGTGTCAAAGTAATAATGCAAGCTTTTTGAAATGACAGTTTTTACAGATCTCCAATTAAACATGGAGATGGTATGGAGTCCTGGAGGGACACAGGTGCAGAGGTGAGATAAAGGTACAAGGTGTGGGAAAATGAATTAAAAACAAACTAGCTACATCAACTCCTTTATAAACTCAAAATATTGAATAAACTAAAATTTCAAAGACAAGTCCCCAATCCCTTTCAACTTAGCACTTGTAATTTTTTTTTCTATTTTCTTCATTGCTTTTTCAGACACCATGATTTTGTTTACACACAGTTCAAAAATTCTACTTGCCAAGTTGGAAAACAGAAAGTGTCACAAGTCAGGGAGGAGTATGCAGGGATGTGCCATGTGATGATGGGGGAGGGAATAAGGCAGAGCCTTGTTTCTGATTCTCATCCATTCCATAGGATAGCGTTAGAAATTCAATAATGTTTTAGATTGATGGAGGCGAGGGGGAGGTATAACAACTCTCACTGCATGTGTCTCACCTGCCAGTGAGAGTCAGTGAAACTGAATACACAAACAGCCTCTGATTTGAACACTACCATTTTGTAGTATGTTCAGAGGACAGATAGCAATGGAAACAATCTCATCTTTTTAAGTCTGTAATACTGCCTTTTAAATAGCTGTGTGAATTTTAGCTGGTTACCAGTAGCTAGAACCCCCTGCTGCTTCTGGGATTGCAGAGGGGAACAACAAACTGAGTTTTGAGCTGCCAGCAATCCTCCTGAAGTCTACGCTGAACAGCAGGAGATTCTTGAGTGTAAGGTTAACAGGCATAATAGGAAATGCACACCTGCTTCCCCAGGAGGCTGAAGATGTATAAACAAGGGTCAGAGAGAAAATGGGGCTCTGAAGTCTTGAAGAAGACAGATGGGCTTGCTCCCTAGCTGGCTGCGAAACTGCATCTCTATGGAAAGCAATGATGGCTAGGGAAAAAACCTGAAAGAACTTTCACTTGATAGTAAGCCTGGACTTTTCTTTAATGAACATAGATAGGACCATTCCAGGTCCTTGACTTAACACCCCACAATGTTAATTTATTTCTCAGGCTGAACAGCTGCCTCATCAGTTTTCTTAGAAAGTGGTTCCTTTACCAACACCTTTCCTTTTCTCTTCTTCTCTGTTCTGTCTTTAAAGATATATTCTTTAGGTTGTAAAGAATCAAAAAAGGTGACGCATTTCAAAGGAGTTTATATTTTTGGAGGGAGGGAAGGGAGTGAGAAAGAAGTTGGAAGATGTTAAGTATTGCTTATGAACCGCCTAATGGAAAAGTTTCTTTTTCTGCCAGGCTATTTGGTTTTTCTGTCCTAAACATAGACCTTTTATCTGAACTTTCTAAATAAAGTTGAGAATAACGTATTGGAAACCTGGAGATCAAATTTTCTGTGAACAGTAGGCACATTTTCTTTGTAGCTCCTTTGAGTGCAATTGTGAGTATGGTAGCATATATATATAGTGTTTCAGCTCTGAAAGGTAAGCTTGTTAAAGCAGAACTTTAGGGTATAGCCTGTATTACAGACTGTTTGTAGAGACTTCTATTTAGCTGCCTAGGGGCTCATTCTCAACTATTTTTTCTTTTAAACAGTGCATGTTCATATTTGCCTTCCTTGAAAATTTATTTCTGACAGTTGGTAACTTCTTCCTAGATCTTTTCTAAGATATAATTGATTTTGTTTTCCTGAGCACATAATTTTATATGGTAATATCTGTGCAAAAGCAATTTGCTATGGTTCAGGGCACTGGACTATTATGGGCATTTGTCTTTGTAATGCGATTATGAAGCTACTAACTTGATCTTAATAACATTTGCCTATTACCACTTATTAGATGCATGAAAGGAAAACAATGCAATTTTAAACACAGAAAATGATGCTGAAATATACTCATGCATCTCTCCTGGATTATCAGCCACGAGGATGTAGTGGATGGGATGACAAAATTTTCTGCTTTTATTTTTGTAGACATTTCATGAATCCTACATTTTAGAGTTAAACTGTATGTCTAATGTTGTAGCAAGTAAAATTAGCAGGTGTTTTTGTGTTATGTGGATTTGTGTGCATGTATGGTTTCCTTAGTAAAGTGCAGTTTGTATCAGTTCAAATTTTTAATGCTGTTGCTATTTTTTTTTAATTACTCAAAAGACAGTTAAGGCCCAACTTAGAAAGAGACGTATGTAAGTGTTCAGCTTTAAGCCTGTGTTCAGGAACGTAGCAACTTGTAAGCCTAAATCAGAACATGTACCTAAAGATCTTGGTTCAGCAAGTTATTTAATTGCTAGTAGTCTAATTTTTTGTCTGCAGTAGCTCGTGCTTTAGATTGGAACTATTACAGAGGAGTTCCTGGCCAAGGGCAATTGATTTAGACATCTTTCCATCACATGAATGGCATATGCTCATATAGACTTTTTTGAAGTGGACTTTACTGCATGTTTGGGACCATGCTGAACACTCTATTCCAGGTAGTTTTGGACTTTAATAGTTTTCTTGAAATCCCTGACTTAAGTGAAAAGAAATTTTTTTTTTTTTTTTTTTTCAGTCTGGTACTTAGTTGGCGGGCATCATTAACAATTGGGAGATTTACTGGCATTTTCAACAGAAGGGCCAAGAGTTGGTTAAAACTGTATGACTGCATTGCGCATAGACCTTGTACAATAGAGAAATGCATTATAAATACAAGAGGATATTATAATTGAAAGTTACGTTTACTGAGAAAACATAACAGTCAAATTTTCTTTCTGATGAGAGTAGCTTATATAGGGTGGAAATTTGTACTCCAAGATTGCATTTCGGATGCTAGTTATCTTCTCATCACCTCTGACATTTCTTGTCTCATCATCACAAGAATCTCATCATCACAACAGTCTTTAGAGATAGAAGAACAGAGGTCATAACTTTCTTCCAAAGGTGAAGGTGACTCTTGTGTTCTCTGCTTTGCAGACAGAAATGTCTAATTCAACTAATGGTCACAGAAAACAGAAATCCTGCTTGCTTCCACATTGAAGCTTTCTGTGTTGTTAATCAACATATTGATTTTTTTGTTGGCACTTTTAATTAATTTTCTCTTAAAGAAAATTGCTGAAGAATCTTAAGGCAGTGTTATTAGCAAATGTAACGTAAAGACTGTTGAAACATACTGGAATATTTAATATGTGTCCTTTATTTTTAATTCAAAGGATGCTGTGACAATATGCACTCTGGGAGTAGGAACTGCTTTTGGAGAGTCCATTCTGGATAACACTCCTCGCCATGCTACCATCGTTACCAGAGAATATAGTGAGCTCCTTCGAATTGAGCAGAAGGACTTTAAAGCACTTTGGGAGGTAAATTCAAATTTATTTGCATTTTATGCAGGAAAAAGTGATTTAGCCTTTTTCAGTGTTTGTAATGAAATATAAGCACATTATACCATAAGCAAAGCAATAATTCTTTTAAATTAGTTTGGACAAAAAGGAAGGTCTTTACTTCTTTTTAGTGCTTCATATTCTGCATGATTACATACTCTTTTATTTCTTTCTTGTAGGCTTCTTCTAATGAAATAACTTAGGTGAAACTTCTGATGGAATTTATTTATATACTGCAGGTGTTGCTTGCTTAGCCTTAAACTTGCTTTTATTGCCAGCATTTATGAGGAGAGTCTATCCTTAATATACTCTGATATTTTAAATTATTCCCTTTTACTCCTGTCTCATCACCAGCTGTAAGGAGTTTAGAATTTACAGATGGATCAAGATCACTTATAAGTTAAGTTACTGGTTACATGTGAATTCCCTTAAAATTTTCCTTTGTGGAGAACATGCTGCTGAGGTTCTTCATTCTATAATCTGAGTACTTAAGTATCCACATTGAGAAGACTTCATTAACATGTTACTGTGCCAAGTCACTAAACTTCAATCAGTTTGTATTTTTGTAAGCATTACACTTGATTTGAAAAATGTTCTGGGCATTGGAAGGCATCCTGTTGGCCTGGCCTACACTATTGCCGATTTGTGCTGCCAGCTTGTTTTAAATGGTGACTGTACAAATTTAGGTGTTGTGTAGAGCTGTCAGATAGTGTGACAGTGTCCAAAAGTTGCAGATCTAGGGACACTGACTATATTTAAGAAATAGATGTTGGTTGTAGCGGTTTAGTTCAGCTTCTCTCCTAAGTGCAGACAGACGGGGTTTTTTTTTGGCTTTCTCTTTTCCTGAGAAAGAGCAGTATTGTAGTCCAAATAGTTGTCCTATAGCAGTACTAAGGTAAGGCTATCAGAAAGAAAACGTAATCCACAACTGGCTACACTGACTGAGGAAACAGCACTAGTATCACGTGTCTGCAAATATGTTGCCGTGAGCATAGTTAATGATGCACCATGACCAAGGTAAGAAAGACCAATGTGTGAATAAAACATGCTTGGCATTGAATACCTTGAGAATATCAGATTTCATTCTTTGAATTGCATAGGTGTAATTTATACCATTTTTTTGGCAATGTTTACAGCTAAAATAAAATGCTAGTAAAATCTTACAGCAAATTTGAAGAAATTTGCTATGCAATGTTTTTCTGCGGTTCGTGTTTTTTTCTCTACAGGAGCTGCATTATAGTTTTAGACCCTGGCATTAAAAGACTAAATATGCCAGTGGTCTCATTGGTTTTAACATATGCCACACTTGCCAGTGGTCAGGAGATTTTAATGTAGATAGTGCTTTAAAAGCTCATGATGGAGGAGAATAAATCCAATTGTAGGTTTCTCAAGTAACATTTCTTTTTAATTTACTTTTAATTGGTATAAGCAGAGTCATTTCTGCTATGTTTATGGCTTTCCTGATGAGCATTCAGAGATTGTTGGTTTCCTATCAGAAATGTTGGATGAGTGGAGGTTAAGTTCCCTGCTTAAAAATTTTGAATGTTAAAACATATTTAAAGTTGTTTTAAAACAAAAATGCTGATGTTATTTGGTCTTTAATTACTAGTACAATGTTGTTTGTAACAACTTTGCTGATTTTGATGAGTTTTTTGATGATAGATGCGTTTGGAAAAGGTCATGTGTTGAAAGTATTAGGAGCTACCATAGGGAGCCTTAGCACACATCTTGTATGTTGCAGATTTTATGAAATTGTGCAGCAGAGCATGTCACAGATGCTGCAGGTGTCAGTCACAGACCACAGTGTAGCTTTGTGGTGCTTCTTTGCTTTTTGTGCAGTTTTACAGTGAACTTTTAATGTATTTAGGTGTGCTTTCTTTCAAGGAGGCTACCCCTGTGCTCTTAGAGAGTGGAAAATTATGCCACGAAATATAGCTTTGCAGGTTAGTCTGAGGTAGAATGAAGCTGTTAATTTTTTCCGAGGTGATATTTGTTTCCTTGCAACCTACTAATCCCAAAGCCTACATAAACTGTAGCTAAGGTATGATAAACAGATAATGTTCAAAACAGACGGAAAATTATTTAAGAAAATTCCCCTAAAATATACTAGCAATAGCAGCAGTAGTATATTATTACTGTTGTTGCTGTTGTTGTTGGTATTGTTATCTAAAGAAACATAAATACTTTTCTTCAGGGAAACTTTCTGTTATGTTGTGGATGCCCTGTTTTTCTGTCTGCCTTGTCCCAAGATTCATGTATCTTTGTTGTGACAAAGCCCATGTGGGGAAACGGTTATTGATACAATGACATGCCACTCAGATAATTTTTTTTTATTTGTTTTTAATGAAAACCCACACAAAGCCAACAATGGATCACAGATATTTAATATCAGTGGTACCATGGGAAAAATGGGAAAAGGCAACAATGTCAGTGTCATTACAATCCAGATATGGTAAAAACTATAATCTAGTGCATACAAATTTCAACTCTCCAGGTAATGAGAATTTAATTCCAGAAAGAAGTAGTTTCTCCATTAAAAAAATTGTTGAATAATTCCAAAATAATGTAATACCTTAGTTTAACAACAACGTAAATAAACTGTAGGGTTGGAATTCTTAAAATGGTTACTGCTTTTATAAATGTAGGATTTTTATGATTAATAGTAAAAATGCAAAAAATTAATTTTATATATAATTAGGGTTTTTTTGTTTATTTGTTTATTTTCCCATGAAATTTACTTTTGGGAAAATTTACTTTTTTCCTCTCTTTTGAGGGAAAGAACAAATGAAAACTTGTCAGCTGATTAAAGGTTTTTGGTATACAGAGCATGAAAATTCGAAGACTGCAATTTTTAATATTATTTTTTCCTTTCAGGTTGTGAATGTAATCTTGGAAAATGAACCAGCATAAATTGATTCAGTGTTGACTTTAATTTATTGTGCAACTGCTCTGAAATGATAGGACTGCGAACTCTGAACTATCTTCCTTTATAGTAAAAATTTGTTAACACTGAAACCTACTGGTGGTGAAGTTCATGTTTGCAACAAATCTTTTTCTACCCTAAATCTATACAGTTCTTTGAAAGACAAATAAATATCCATTTATACTGCTTATGAAACTTTTAGTATAAATTCTGAAACTAGATTTTAAGAGAGAGAAAGATATAATACATATCTATTTCAGTTATTTCTAAGTTTAGAAAGAATTTTCTGAATCTCTGTAACTTCATACTATGAATTTACAGACTTTTCTGAGTTTTGTTTAAATTAAAAAGTAACTTTTCCTGTATTAGCTGTATTGCTCTAAGAAACAATTTTATTGATAGAATGTTTCACAGACCAGATATGGCTTATTAACATATTTAATGCAAAGTGTATTAATTTATTTGAGTACAATTACAATTGGGTCTATACCTGAAAGAAAGAATTTGCTACTTCTAAACAGACTTCTTTATCTCTGTTCTTCTGTCAGTTTTATAAATTTAGATACTCTTTGAGGAAAAGATAGGATATTCTTTATCAAAAATATAAAAAGATGCCTTCTGTAATATACAGAACCACATATTCTGTCAACCCTTTAAATGCGGAAAGATTTTCTATGATCTTCATTTTTAACAGCCAGGGGATGCTGGTCAAAACAAATTCTGTTGTCCTGATAACAACAAATACCAGTTAAAATGGCCTAATCTTTTCTCTAATGACTATTATCTGGTGAAGTAGTGTCCTGTTCGGGAAACATCTGTTGAACTTCTAAGCTTACTCATCCTCGGAGACTTGTTTTCTAACAACAGCTGCTATAGCAGATTGGAGATGATGAAATCTCTGGTTAGGTTCACACACAGCTGAGCGCTGTTTTCTGATCAAGAAACTCTAGGAGGTTATGGGAATCACTGGTGATGTGCCTTTGTGCACCAATTGTCCCTGGCCTTCACCTATGAAGAGCACTAGCAAACATGAAAAAAGTTATTCATCACTGTTATAACACTGTAGACTTCCAAGGTGCTCTGTGATTCTGTAGGAAGAGGTACTCTTTGTATTGATAAGAACTTGCTTTCCCTCTTGAGCATCAATGAGTGAGTGTGGTGCTAGCTACCTTGCCCAAAAAACTGTTTCAAAGCACAAAGGAAAATACATCCAAAAATAAACATGAAAGCAAGTGGCTACACACAAGGAGCTTTGGTCATGCACATCCCCTTGGGTCACTGGCTTGCTCCACCCCTCATAGTTGGATTCTTTTAAAGAGTAGGAGCGAAATGAATGTATTTGAGCAGTGTTACCATTACAGAAGTTCTCTGTAGTTCATCCTTGAGCTTTGTCCTTTCATGCAGTTGCACACTGATTCAAACCCAGACAGGAAGGGAGTGAATCTGCTGAGAGGTGACTTATTTTTAGAGGTCTTTCCTACCACAGTGAATTACTCAGCCTTCCTTGGATAACATACAAATAACCAATTTCCTTTTGTGTGGACTAAGATTCTGTTAGAAGTTACTGAACATGCCTTGAGAAACATTTGATCTTGAGTAAATGAAGAACAGCTATTACTTCGATATGCAGTAACTTTGGAGAGAGGAACTCTGGGCCCCTATAAGGTCAGAATGAATATTTTAATTCTTTTTTATCCATATTCAGCAGCACTTACACATCTTGTAGTCTGATAAACGGTAGTGTAACTTGTTTCTTGCTTTTGCCCATCTGATGATAATTCAGTAGCCCTCAGCAGACTTCACTGCTCTGAAATGATAGCTTTTGGAAAAGCAGCTTTCTTACTGTCTTTGTTTTCTGAACACTATGAACGTTAGTTTTTAGTGAACTAGTTTAAAAACAGATCCTCTATCAAAACAGAAATTTTACATACTGTTTCAATGGAATGCTGTGTAGGAAATGCACATACAATATGGAATACTGACTTAAATGTTGTAGCACTGTTCAGTGAGGTTTCTGAATAAGCCTTAAGTTCATCAGAATTGAGACCACAGCTCT